CACACTCTCACACACACACACACACACTCTCTCACACACACACACACACACACTCTCACATACACACACTGCTCCTGGCTTGTACAGGAAGCATCGGCCCTGCAGCACATTCTATAATAAGAAAGTGACAACTGGGCCGCTGCACAGGAGAGTCACGGCTGAACTTTGAATGAAAAGAGCGAAATGTTCTCTTAAAGCTGCGGCTGGCACTTTACTTTTGGCGTCATTGGGCAAAAAACGGCCACAATAACCTTCCAGAGTATTGTAATTAAAGTGGTCTGAGAGAAAACGAGACTTATGCACCTCCTCCTCCTCCTCATTGCCAAGGTTGTCAAATACAGACACTTTGAGACTCAACTATCGTCCTTGGAGCCACCAATCCAAAGTGTCGGTGTTTGACGACCTGCGAATAAACTCAACAACCGGCTACCTTTCAGCTGCTGCCTCCATTGTTCCCAGTTGGAAGGAGTGATTGTGTTTCAGGAGGAAGAGCTCACAAATCACAGGGTTGGTGGGTCGATCCCTCAGCTCTGCATGTCCTTGGGAAAGACCTTGGACTCCAGAGCTGGGTCATATTGAGCTCGATTGAACAACTTAGAACAATGGTTTGCGTTATATCCCAGCAGAGGAAGAATATTATTTTAGGAGTGAGACAACTTGCACAACTTCTTTATTTATGAGAAAGTAGTTTTGTCCCCGTGTTTTTCAGAATGCAGAAAGCTTCTGGTGCCTTCATTTAAAACAAAGCCACTTATTTTTATCATGCTGTTTGAAGAAATTGTGTCTTATTGTAAAATTTCTGATTATTAATCTTAGATTAAAGTACAAATTCTTAAATTCGGCTCAGTAAAGTGACCAAATCTTAAGAATATTTGGTGTGTGGGTGATGTACATTAGGATTGGGCGGTATCAAGGTATTTGGATATACCAGGTTATTTTGAAGGTGTGATTTTCAGAGGTGCTCCTCTTTCTATTGGATCGATCATATTCGCTCTTATATCCTTCATTTTCTGTGCGCTCAGTTCGGATTCGAGTGGCTGCTCGTGGGAAGAATGAACCCGTCAGAGTCTCCATTCTTAACTAAAAGCTCTGCGAAATTACGTGTCCCCGTCTCTCATCTCGTATTTCACTCACTGAGGCGCGACTCGCAATACACAGATTTGACAGCTTTCCCGCACGTCCTGGAAAACCTGAACATTTAGAGACTAGTTTTCCAGTCATGGAATATCCTGAAAATAATCTATGTTGTCCTGGAATTTTTTGTATTTTACCTCTCGCTCAGATCACCTACATACCTACAAACTGTATGACATTAAAGGCAGGTTTACCAGATGCAAAGATTAACTGACTTCAGCGATCTTTCCGGCATTGAGTCTAGTTTTTCCAGAGCTGTGAGTGAAATTCTCATTTCTCCATGCATGCAGGCTAATGTTTAAATGTCTTGTTGCTGTGGTTCATAAATACATCCACAGTGATGTTAGTTGTACGTGCAATGCAACACTTTTACATTGAGCTGTTCCCAAATGCTGCCGCCAATTTGCCCGAAATCGCAGCTTTTCGCACCGTTTGTAAGCCAGTGCTGTCCTGTATTGTCAAGAAAAAGTCCTTGAAAATGTCTGGTACAATTCCTGTGATTCCAGGCTGCCAGACCAGTGCTGTAAAGGCTAGAAAAGCTGCACTGGTTAAAATAGAAATGCTCTATCATGCATGACTTTTATCACCAGCAGCTCAGCTTTTACGTTGTTTTTTTAAAATGCATATACTGTCATTTACCGTATTTCCCCCGGTGAAAGGAAGGTATGAAATAATCTTCACCATCCAAACCTAATTTGCATATACTACACATATTTGACAGTTTACTGGCCTGTGTGTGTGTGTGTGTGTGTGTAGTATACACAACAGCGTGTGACTTCAGGGTCATCATCAGGGTCACCTCGGGTCACCAGCAGAAACAGATGCAGTCTGCAGATAATGCTCTGTATAGTACAAGTGGACAAGCTGAACATGTGCCATAAATCCTCACCCTGCTTGTATAATACAGTATAACAGGCGGCTGGCAGAAGGCGTAACCTTCAGTGTGCAGTATGTGGGTCAACGTGACATGACACACTAATGATAGGCAAAGCTTTTATTTTCCTAAGTGCTGGGAACATTGGAGTGGATATTGCAGTTTAAAGAAGGGTTGGCTCTCTGAAGTCATTACACTTGTCTGTTTAAGTGTTCTTCTGTTGAGGAAATACCAAACAGTTTCTACCTTTTAAACACTTCTCATATGACTGTTCCTGCAGGGCAACCTTTACTATCACAACAGCCTTTTTCTGGCCCAAAATAAAAGATACAAATCTGTCTGGAGCCACAAAACTAATTGAGCCTTTATAGTGCTCCTTTCTCTCAGCAGATAAAGCACACCAGTAAGCCAGCGGCGCTGCTGGAGAAAGAAAACAAATCTGTATGTGGAATCCAAAGATAGTCGAGCTAGGGAGACTCGAGACTTGATATTGATGATCGGCAAGACATGGAGGAGAAAGTGCCAGTGCCAAGAAAAGATTTCCACCTTTTATTTGGTGTATAATGGCCTCACATTTTCACAAGTGGAGCATGTAAGAATCACTTTAACCCCACAACAATAATAAATGAAACTGTTCAAAAGACAGCTGTTATTTCTTTCCATTTCATTTTTTTTGTCAAAGCCACAGGGAGCCACCGGAGAGGGGCCTCATGTGGCTCTGCAGCCACAGGTTGCCCACCCCTGATCCATGGGAAGGTTATTTCAATGAAAACTGTCCACAGTGAAGTCCACGACACTTCCTGGAAACACACATTGCTGTTGAGTTTTTCAAATGCCATTTCGAACAAACAAAATTACTTTTAAACCCCCTCACACACACACAGACGACAGGACAGGACAGACAGAGACACACCACACACACACATACACAGATGCCTCAGACCCATCTGCAGCACACACAGTTAAATGATACTGCTCCTTATAATGATGCTGTATATGAGTGTGGAGCAGCGGATCAGGTCTTTTATTTTCAGTGAGTTTGTCTGCAGGGCCTTGGTGTGGGAACAACTCTCTGTTCCCTACAGTCCCTTTTATAACCGATT